ATGCACTGACCACTTCCGCCGCGAGTGTGATTGACTGCGTAAAACAAGGGGGTTCGATCCTGAATGTCCTTGAGGTCGACGTCGGCACCCGAGTCGAGCAGCTGCTTCATGCAGTTGCAGCATCTCTTCATCGCCGCGAGGTGGAGAGCGCCGATGGTCGCCAGGCTCTGAGTGTCGGGCGGGACTCCAGCGTCGAGCAGCTTCCGCAGCAGCGCAGTGCAGTCCCCTTCGGAGTCCACGGCGCTGTGGAGCAAGGAGTGCGGGCCGGGGACGGCGGAGAGGTCGGGGTTGTCGTCGAGGATGGAAGAAACTCGGGAGACATCGCCCCTTCTGACGGCACCCTCCAAAATTTTCCATTGCTTCTGAACTGCACTTTTAGGGAAAGACATCTAGGCACCACCTTTGCCCGCAGCACACGAGACATGTGCACTCAGAGAATGCTTCTCACACAATGCCTGGATAAAATCGCAGGATGTACGTGTCATTTCCCAACTGTAAAAGCTACACGTTTCATGAACTCCGGATTTTGTTTGCTGATTGTCTTTTGTTTCTTGGCGCAAAGTTGGAAGCTGCCCGCAGTCATGTCTCGTTTATTCTGCTGTCGTAGTGCATTGTGTAAATTCATATGCTTAGCTCGATCTTCTTTTCAAATGCATTGCTTCAATAGTCTTCAAAAAGTAGGACATAGTTCTGGGGGAGAGGAAAGAGAGATGGGAGAGGCGAGAGAGGGAGAGGAGAGGGGGCGAGGAGTGAGTGGAAAAGGGAGGGTGAGGAGAAATGGGGGGAGAGGGAAGAGGGGAAAGAAGTGAAGAAGGTATCATGAATCTACTAGTTCAGTGTTTGAGAGCCAAGAATCAGTATTCGCAGTGGAAACAAAGAAACCGAGATATCACATAAAGACACTCGTCATTTCATTTTACAAATGTTGTACTCCTTAAAACTCGTATACATAGCCTTAACGATAATTTATATCCCATGGAAATGCTTTCAAGATAAGCTTTACGAAAAATATCCGCTGTTCGTGGTAAACAGCCAAAACGTTTGGGTCAGAATTTCTTATAAATCCACCCTATTCATAGTGCAGGTGGAAAACGACTCGTTCAGAAATCTGTTTTTTTATTTTTTTTTTCCGCTGCTTTTAACTGACGACACATCCTGGCAGGTTGAGGAAAATTTGACTATAGCCTCTGCTTGTTACTTTGACACATATTTTGAAATGTTGAAATAACAAATAATAACATAACGTATATGTGTGTGTGCGCGTATATATATATATATATATATATATATATATATATATATATATATATATATATATATATATATATATATATACATATATATATATATATATATATACATATATATAAACGTATGTATACATGTACGTATGTACTGTACATGCATGTATATTTGTATTATATAATTATATTCATTTACTTATTCATATTTGTTTAAACACACGAACACACACACGTGTATATGTGCGTTATACAATAGAGTAAAGTAATCGAGATAGTAATAATGTATAATTTATCGAGATCCAATGCCACCGCACTCAGCATTATGGAAAAAAGAGGGAAAAGAATTCGTTCAGAACACTGTTTTTTTCTTTTCTATTTATTTGTTTCCGCTGCTTTTAACTGACGACACATCCTGGCAGGTTGAGGAAAATTTGACTATAGCCTCTGTTTGTTACTTTGACACATATTTTGAAATGGTGGAATAACACATAACAAATAACTGTCTCTGCTTCCTCAAGTATAACCACAATATAAAACGACAATAATATTGATAACAGGTAGTTCAGGAATTTATTATTTCTTATATTCATGCAAGTGCAAGAAGCATATCCCGGTATATGTTGGGCTACATTTATTATTATTATTATTATTATTTTTTTTTTTTTATTAAAACAATTCGAATGACTTATCCCACACGAATAACCAAAGGATAAATTAAAACCGAATGTAAATGTTTAGCGTCAATTAGTACCGTAGTACCAGGTGGGGGACTTTTAAGGGAGATATTTTATGTGTGTACTTATTTGTATTACGTATATATATATATATATATATATATATACACACACACACACACACATACACACACACACACACACACACACATTATATATATATATATATATATATATATATATATATATATATATATATATACATATACATATATTTGTATATATGTATATACATATGTGTGTGTATGTACATGTGCGTGTAATATGTGTGTGTGCGCGTATATATATATATATATATATATATTATATATATATATATATATATATATATATATGTATGTGTGTGTGTGTGTGTGAACGTTTGTACGGTACATGTATGTATATTTGTATTATGTAATTATATTCATTTACTTATTCATATTTGTTTAAACACACACGAACACACACACGTGTACATGTGCGTTATACATTAGAGTAAAGTAATCGAGATAGTAATAATGTATAATTTATCGAGTTCCAATGCCACCGCACTCAGCATTATTTGTCTTGTTGTCAAGAGATAGGAAGAGAAAAAGAAATACATGAATAACCTTTTCCTGAAGTGTGACTATGTTAATAAGATATGACATGGAAAAAAAAGGAAATGCAGTCAACAGTCAATGTAATCAGCAAGACTATAAATCAAGTACGACAATCCTATCAGAGTACAACAAGAAGCAGAAAGGTTGAACGACAGCAAAAAGAAATCCTTTCCGAATCAAAACAAACCCTCGAGTCTCAGTCCTTCCTTCACAAGACAAACATGGGTTATGGACCAGCCACGTTGACATGCAAAAATCTCCAGGATTACTTGAAATCTCTCCCCAAGGACACTTTAGATGCTTTGTATAGAAACCCGGCAACATGTCTGGCTGTTTTTAGGTAATGTTTCTGTTGTGAATACATATTCATTTCAATTTATCATGAAGGAAGAGATTGCAACAAACTTGAACTGTACAGCTGCAGTAATGAGTTTGATATGTATTTACACAATGACTGTTCTATGAAGAGGAAATCTAAGGACACAGGGTATAAGTTAGAGAGACCGACGCTCGTAGTTAGAGGGAGATGGACACTGCCATCTTATAGAGCGAAAGAAATAGAGTGGGATAGAACAGTTCAAGCTGCAGCGCCTCATAATCGCCGCTAAATGACTGAACCTTTTCAGTAACCCTACATAAACCATCTTTGCTCATGTTGAGCATAAAGCCACAATCAATAATTGCAACTCTCTTTAAAAGGCACTACTGCATTTTGGTAGTTTAACAGAATACAGAATTGCATAACTGATTGCAATGATTTTGGTATTGATGGAGTCCTCTCACTCTCTAGTAAACATGTATGTTGGAATTATGCCACGGAACCCCTCCCAAACCCTCACATTCTTGGCCTGATATTAGGGGAAGGCATGAAAGGTACCAATTGCAGGGTAAAAATAAATAATATACACAGAATCTGTTACAATATTGTCTAATGCACGGGACTGTGCCCCCTGCAAGTCCTCTGTGGGGTGAGGGTTGGGGGGTAGTAGCCCCTAGGAAGAGGTTTGGAATAGTGACTGAGTGTGTATATTATTGATATTTTACCATGTAATTTCCCTGGTACCTTTCATGCCCTTCCCTGTTATCATGGCCAAAATTATTGTCTAATGGGTGGTTTCCATTGCATAATTTCAATATATTTGGATATTACAGAGTGACAGGAATAACACAATCATCATGATTGGGTTATGCAAAGGTATTCCGTAAAACTACCCTGTACTTCTAATGTATTTTTCTTGATTTTGGTGATTCTTTACAGTATATATGAACTTTTCAGAGACTAAGTCCCCAACTCCATATCACAGTTTTTTTTTCCATTAGCTTAGGGGTAATTTTTAGTTTCAAACAGCCATCCAGTCTTGCAAATATCCACACTGTATTATATGTTAAATCTTTTGGTATTTTCCATCACAAATGATATAGATGAAAGTGTTGGTAATGTTTATAAAGTGACGTTATCCCTCTGAGATCAAGCCCTTATTACTCCAGCCATTTTTGTGATATCCACAAACCGGGGCCTATGAACCAAAATCCCGAGTGTTTCTTTCCCAGACCTCGTCCAATTGCCGTATTTACCAATTGGGAGCTGCACCTGATCCACACGTCACTTGTCATGACCCATTATCTTATTTTTTTATGTTATTTTTTTGCATAAACAGTTATCAAGAATTTAGACTATTTCCTTATCAGGCACTAGATCATCAAGTCTTACCTGAATATATAGGATTAGTGTTTTGACTAATGCTAAATTGTAGTTCCCAGAGACCACAGCTGCTAATCACAGCCAAGCTCTCTATACACCCTGCAGTCAAAATTTACTGAACAGATTCACCAATTGAGCATTGTATTATGGTTTTTAGACCTAAGGTACTTGTTTGGTATCAGGCCTCTTAATTTTGTTTAACCCTTTACCAGTGTGTGTAAACCTGATAGAAAATAGATATTTTACACCATACTTTGCCTCTAGTGAAATATTTGTCTTGTACTGGGTAACTGCACTGTGATTTCAGACATTACCTTTGTAAGGATTTTTGTGAACTCCCACAGATATCTGGCTCCTCATATCAGTAATCCAACTTGCATAGGCCTAGCTACTCCAAATATAGAGGTGTAGGAGATGCAACCAAAGAGACTGACCACATCCTTCTTAGTTATCACCTGAAGATCCTTCAGAATTGCAGGTTTTTTTGTAATGCATCGTTCTGTGGTAAAGATCACTAATTGGTTATGGCTACCTTGTAATCCACTTCAAAATACCGTTTCTGTTCTGTGACTGCTCTTGGACAGACTGAGGGAGGGAGGGGGAGGCAAGTATATTTTTAATAATTCCATAGCACTTGACAACCTGGTGGACAGAAAAAAAAAATTGAGATTGAGGAAAAGGAGCTCTTGATTGCATATAACTTTTGCAGTGTATGAATAATATATTAATTTTTGAAAGGGCTGGAGATAATGATTCAAAATGAACATGTAAATTGCTTTTCAAGTGTCAGTTTCAAGAGGGGAATTCTATTCAGTGTTCCAGCTAATATTTCTATGTAAGGAATATGATTATTACTGGAAGTATTCATAGGGGTGAATGTTTCAGGGAGCTGCCGGAATTATCACGGCATTTCATTCTCCGTCTCCTGTTTGTGACGAAGCCAATCTCCCAGATACTCCTAGCTGCATGGATCCCACATCAGGAACCAAGCAAGTAAGTACAAAGTTCTGTTGTTTGGTTATGTTTTAAACATTGTCGTATAGCTATTTTTGTGTAAATCAGTATTTCAGAAATTAATATTACTTCTATTAGTTTGGAGGACATGGGATAGCATGGAACACAACAAATTATATTTGAGTTTGGGTGCAAAGACAAGTGCATGTAGTGACTCTTGTGCAGAATGGATATTCATGATGCTGGTTATATACCATTTATACCATCAAAGCAAGTTTTTAGGCTGACTTGAATATGAAACAAAACTGATAATATAAAATAAGATAAAAATTACCACATGTATCCTGGGTCTGCCCTAGAAAATTTCAGGCAATGGTAATAGATATGTATAAGATTTGTGTGCAAAAGGGTTGATCAGTACTGCTCCTTTTACAGAGACCTTGGAGACATAGCAGCAGAGCACAAGCAGAGCACCCAGATCCTGCTTGACATGTACATCTGGCAGGAGGTGAAGGACCATCATGGCAATTCAGCTATTAAACTCAGCAGTACTTTTAGAGAGAACTTAAAAATTGCTACTCTAGGAGGGTATGTTTGTCCTTTGTCAATGTTTATCCAGTTTTCACTATATTTCTGCATATACAAATTGTAAAATCCTGTATACAAATAGTATCTGATGATTTGGAGATACTTACTTATAAATGAGAATTGGAAGTTAGTTTTCTTTTATGATATACATACATAGATTTAATAAATATTTTGGTTTGATATTTGAGAGTAACTTGTAGACTTTCCTTTTGATTGGTCAGTACAGAAAAAGAAACATATGATTGCTCTTCAACAGTTTCTGCATTTTAGTTTTTTCCAATATATGTTTGCTTGGTATAACTATAACAAGAAAATGGAACAGGAATAGTTCACTAAGCACTTGACATTCACCATTTTTCAGAGGGAGACCTTGGACCATGTCAGCTGCGTTAGATCCAGACCCACATCAAAGAGACCTGGAATTTCTGGACAAATATGCAATGGATCGGTGGGAGAGTGTACTCCAGTTCCTTGTCCAGCCAGGGAGAGGAGCAACAGTAATTTCTAGGGATGCAATGAGAACGTTGCTCCATGCTGGTCTTATTGAAAGGTAAGGAATACTATTGTTGCTCAGTTGAAGGATGTTAGTTTCGCTAGTTTCCTCACACGAGATCATTTTTTAAATTTATTTCTTGATAATTATATTCATTTCAAAGTAGACTATTTTGAGGTTTTTACAGTTTTATGTGCTTGTGATACAGAAAGGAGACATGGTTTCCTGTTGGGTCAGTCTTTGCCATCTTGCTACAGGATGACAGAAAAAAAACAGATTAGAACCTTTTTTCATCTTTAAACACAGGATTACAAATTTCACAAATCATGTTCCCAATACTTTGGCATCCATTATCCATTACCAACTAACAAGTAAAACAGGCATCAGGTTATTAGTTATTTAACAAGTTGTCTTTTTGTTCACAGCAGTGATGAGTCAGATTCGCCCAACATGCAGATCACAAGCTCCGGCTTCCAGTTCCTTTTGCTGGACACGGCCTCACAAGTGTGGTTTTTCATCCTCAAATACCTGGAGACAGTCACAGAGCGTGGACTCAGCCTTGTGGCTTGTTTGACTTTCCTCTTCAAGCTTTCCTTTTCTACGCTTGGAAAGGTATTAGTGAAGCTTGGCATTGATTATGGTTGTTAAATAGTTTTATTATAATAATCATTATATTGGAATTTTTTGGAAGGCACTTTTTGGCTTCAATTTTGTTTTTTTATTTAATGCAGACTTTGAATTTCAATTCCTAGAATAATTTTCTGTGTAAACATTGGTTATGAGTTCATGCTAATTGTGAACATGACAAATATGCTAGGTACTTTGCTTTTATTTTGTAAGTCAGAGCTGTTCAGGTAGTCATGAGACTAAAGGAACAGGGGGACAAATAGTTTTATTATGTATGTAATACCTCTTTTTTCTTCTTTTTATATTTTATTTTTTTATTCTGAATGATGCCATTTTTGTTTGTGAAAGAATGTTTTAGATATATTTTCCATTGTTCCTACATCATAAGATTCTTATTTCCTTTCCTTTTAATGCAGGATTACAGTATGGAAGGGATGAACAATGAGCTTCTAACTTTTCTACAACACTTACGGGAGTTTGGACTTGTATATTTAAGAAAAAGAAGTTCTGGCAGATTTTACCCTACAAGATTAGCTCTTAATATAACAGCAGGTCAGAATAAGGTAAGATGTGGATGATTGTCTGAGCTAAATATGTTCCTCTTTGTGTTAGTTAAATTACTTATGCGTTCAGTATACTTTTTGTTGAATCTTAAAAAAAATGTGCTACAGTTCTGAAAGAACCCTTTTCCTATTTCCTTTTCTCTTCTTTTCTTCTTTGAAGCTGCCCTGTACTTTTTGAACTATGTTAAAAGGGGTGACAAAAGGGCTTTTAAAAGGTATTATAGTTAGAAGTATCCAGCATCTGTTTCTATAAAGAGATGTATAGTAACTTAATCTTGAGACTAAAGTGAGAACGTGGAAAGTTTGGAGGAACTGTTTGAAAGTTGTTAATGTGAATATCCTATATATTCTTATGAAAAATGTTTTCTTTCTCTTATTGTTTTTAATTTTTTGCTGATAGAAGTAATTCAAGAGCTCCATCCTAAATACCCATTAGTCTTTTCTTTCTTCAAGAACTTGGTTCACTTATGATGAGGTTTCCCTGTGACCTCGAACCCCAGCCAAATGTTATCTGGCCCTTAGCCTAATTTTCTCATGATGTGTTGGTCATGTAATTTGAATCCAGGGGGTTAACAACCTTTATTAGCTTTATTAAAGGATTGAACGCCTCAAAAATACATGCCAGTGTTGTTGGATGCCATCTAATCATATAATTAGCCTGGGTCCTGGTGATCTAGATGATGGCTTTGCAAGGTTCAATTTCTAAAATGTCAAATTAACCCAAAACTTGCAGTGTTGGCCAAGTTTTGGGTATCCACACTGAATTTTTATAGCAGAGGCTGTGCTATATTGATTTATGGATACTTCTGTGTGTTCAAAGTTTATCTAATGGTGCCGGGTATATACACTGTCCACAGTTGTTTTGTTTTATTGATTTTGTATACATGTAAATGGGTTCCCCAAGCATTTGGTTACCAAGAAGTTGATTATTAACCCAGCATGTTTATCCCACTTTTAGATTTTTTTTTCTTTCTTTAATGACATTGATATTAATGTGCTTATTATTATTATTTTTTATTATTTTAAGATTATAAACAGTAATAGAAATAAACCCATTCCTCTTGCAAATTCATGGAACAGGCTTAGTAGATATACTATTTATGACTGAATGATTTTGAAGCCATTTATTTGTAAAAAAAAGTTATTTATGGAACAAAAAGTAAAATGCAACATGTGTTTGGAATGTATATAAAGATTAGTTTAATTAAGCTGTTGATGTTGATGGGATGACAAGAATACACACTATGTCTACTGTTAATTTTTGTTTATTGATTGGCGTTTAACGTAGACGGCTCCACAAGTGCTTGATAACCTAGGACTCCATTACTAGCCGTACCTACCTCACTTGTTTACCATTGTCCTTAATTTTCAGAAAGATTCTTTTTTATTTATTTTTTTCTCCTATTATTGTTCACAACATAATAATAATCATAATGCCAACAACAATGATAACAACTTTTGATAATTTTAGCATTGGAAAGTCAACATATTCCCCAAAACTTAAGGTAAAGGGAAATTAACATAGGGCATATAGTTGCTCATTTTCTCCTTGGTAGTTTAGCACTTACGAAGTGAAAGAAAATGACAGTAGACACTACCCAGCACCATTGGCTTAGTGAAGAAATGGGCTCATTGTGTAGTTATTCTGACAGAAAGATTTATCTTCCTAATATTTTCCTTATCTCCACAGGGCAACCTTGACGTTCCCAAACAGGGGGATCTTGTCATAGAAACAAATTACAGAATATATGCCTATACCACTTCAGAACTACAGATTGCACTTCTCTCCATATTTTCCGACATAGAGGGCAGGTAAATGTTATTTTCATTTTATGTTGCAAGGAAAGAAAAAGTTAAGTACTTTGATAATTAAAATAGATAAAATGTAACAGGGATGAAAAACTAGATTGCTTTTTCTCATTATAGTGTAATTGAAGTTAGCAAGGAAATCATATGATTATCAGTGTGCCAGTTTTACATGAGTCAAGACCTATTTGTAGCAATGTACTACCACAAGCTGGAAGTTGTCTGTTTTTGCAGGTTTCCTAACATGGTTGTAGCTTGTATATCAAGAGGAAGTGTGAGAAGAGCTCTGTTGAAGGGTATCAGTGCTGAACAAATTATTAGCTTCCTCAGACAGCATTGTCATCCTCAGATGTACAAACAAAATCCAGTTGTTCCACGTACAGTTTCAGATCAGGCAAGTGCTCTTTTTTTTTTTTTTCTTCTTTCTTCTTCTTTTCTTTGTGTGTGTGTGCGTGCGTGCGGGCATCCGTGTGTGTGTACTTTTCTTTCTTTCTTTTTCTTTCTATTTTGTTTACTTTATTATGATATATTTCATTATTTGATCCTGCAAATATTAGCGGCTTTTTACAGATGGGTAAATTACATATGTTTCATGCACTTGTTTGATTATTGTAATATGTAAATACGTAGTTTAACCTTGAATTATTTATTGAATTTTTCTGTATGAATGATATTATTAGAACAGAACCATTGCTTGCTTTAGTTAGCTGAATGATATTGAGGCCATCCTAAGAATTTAACCAGTAACACAAGTACATTCAGTTACAACTGTATAAACCCTGTTGTTAGATAGAGAATGTGAAAACTTTTAAACGCAAGCTTTTTCACTCTTATTTAAGTATTTAAAATTAAATTCATAAGAAAGTATGTAAAGAAACAGACATTCCCATTCTTAACCCACTTACGAGTGGTGTCCCACATATGAGACACTCGGAAAAGTAAACTTTACTGGGTATCCCGTCGGTGTGATGCTAGATCGAAGATGGTCATGGCTGAGAGATGGTACATTCCACACTTGTTTATTGATGGAAAAAATGCAAAAACTCCTTCCTAAATGCCCACTGAGTGTAATCACCCTCCAAGAGCTTTATGCACTCGTAATGAGTCATTCCTATTATCCCGGCCTTCAGCGGAAATTCTCGTGACGCTAAGTTACCGTCACTGTGGCTCCTCAGCCAAATTTTTCTATGACGGTGTGTTCACATCCCCTGTCCTTCAAGCCAGCTTTTTTTTTTCATGATGTGATGTTCATGTCATCTGGATTGTAGGGTTAATGCTCTCACAGTTACACTGCTTACAGCTTACATCTGTTAAAGGGTAAATGGCTCCTTGAGGTTTATTCTAGAAGTAATAGTAGAAATGAAAATAGATAGATATATATATGCTGCTTATTATATTTTCCTTTCCTTTTGCATGTCATTTATGCACTAATTATTGTTTTGATAGTTAGCTCAGAATTGAAATAATACTAAAAATATTCTGCATCTGTTTATATTTTTGTCCTTGTTCAATAATGAAGCATCTGTGTAACATATGATTAAATCATATGTAATTTAGATGTAATTGTTTGCTGCATCTTTTTGGAAGAAAACAGCAGATGTTCTCCCTCCAAGATAAAAGCATAGTAAGACATGATACAACACTTTCCTACCAAAAGGTTCACCCTCTTTCAATGGCTGTAAGAAATGAGATTCCCACCCAGTAGCACGTGGTATTGTTATCTTGTATTATTGTTTACCTTTCTTTTCTGTAACATTTATGCATCAGTAGCCATTTAGGCTTAATTAGATTTGCAGCTGATGTATAAATTACATATAAATTACAGGATGTGTATAAATTATAAATATGAATTATAAAGTATTAATTACAGGCTGTGAATCATATATGTTATGCAAATGTTTCATGACTGACCCAAATACATAAGGAACATTTTTTTGCTCATTGGATGACTAAACAATTAGGTTGAAACAGTAATCAACTTTAAAGGTTATGGAAAAGGAAAAATGAGAATATAGGCAACAGACAATTATATATATTTACACATTTGTATGTTTATGGTATTTATTTACATATATATATTTTCTTTATGAACAAACATCCTTTCATGAGTGTAATTGAGGGCATTAACATTCTAATAATTCAAGAAGCACATAGAATGTGTGTTTCTTCATATTTTTTTAAAATATCAATTCAGATAGCAAGATATGAGTGTCAGATTTTGCTTTGACATTTTTTCACTGTTTGACAATACGGGTTATGTTAGCAGATGAAATCCAAACTTGATACCTTCAAGGTGGCCAAACATTCAAAATCTGAATTGCAAACAGCTTGTAAGCAGTGTGCTGTAAAATGTTTCACTAATTATGGCAAAGGACATATACAGTATAATGGTTTGGTGGCATTGGTTTCGTGAGCACAGATTAGATATAGCACTGGCTATTCTGTGAACCATATTTACTGTAGTAAATGTAGAAAAGGAATGACTGAGAGTGAATCTCTTCCTCATTCATACTTTTTCTGGTTATTCTGTCATAGAACATTATGTAGATATTAGATAAAAAGGAATTGAAAGGACGAACTGCAGTCCATGATATGGTGGAAAGGAATGTAAGAGTGAATTTTGATTTAATTGGCTTTTATTCTTTTGCAGATTAAACTGTGGGAGATGGAAAGAGAGAGACTCGAATTTAGTGAAGGAGTATTGTACAAAGATTTCATGTCAGTTCATGATTACCTTTTGCTCTCAAATTATGCATCCAGCAAAGGTGTTTTGATATACTCAGATGAAAAACAGAGAACAGTGGTTGTAACAAAGAAAGGACATCCAGCAATAAAACAGTTTTGGAAAGAAAACCAATCAAAATAAGTGGATAGAGATTATTATAGTACTGTTGATAGCTGTAGAAAAATAGTGATTTTTTCTTTTTTTCTTTTTTTCTCAATGCCACTTCTCCCCCTTGCTGTGGGATATATGGGGTATTAACTTAACTTTAAATCAATTACTTTTAATAAGGGGAGGGACATTTTTCATTTACTAAGATAATTGGTATTTAACAAGTTCTTTAAGAATTTGGAGGACCTCAGCTTCATTCTTGGGAAATGGAGAATGCGTGAGGATAGAAATAAAGGAAGAAAGCTCGCTGATTAGAAACAGAAGATTAATATTTTTGTCTACACTGTACCTTGGAATAAAAGTAAATGTTATAAA